GTAAATTTTAAAAGATCAAAGCAAGAGGTAGATTTTAATCCCAGCTGTACCCAGCAAAGCAAACTTAGTGTCTCTGAGCCTCAGTTCCTGCATCTGTACAATGGGGAGAAGAATATATAGCTCACAGAATTCATGGTGCTTGTGTGAGATAAAGATGTAAAAGTACCTTGTAAATTTTAAATCTCCACATGAATACAAGGTGGATTTGGTATTTATTATTTTTATCATAAATGAGATCATGTTGCTCTTCTGCTTAATACTGATCCATGGTTCCTTGTTGGAACAAGGAATGGATAAAATCCATTTTTTAATGGATTTTATAAAATTTATAAATGAATTTTACAAAGTTCATTTATCCAGAGAATGAATAAAATCCATTCTCTTCACCATGGCCCCTAGACCCTTCATGATCTGGCCCCTGCCTACTTCCTCAGCCTCCTTTCTATAACTCTCCCCCGCCCTCACTGTGCTCCAGCCACCATGGCCCTTTGATAGTTTCTAGAACAGGCCAAGCTCCTTCCTACCTCAGGGACTCTGTACTTTCTGTTCCCTCTGCCTGGAATACTCTTCCCTAGGTGTTTTGCATGTCTGGATCCTTTACCTTCAGGCCTCAGCTTAAATGCTGCCTACTCAGGGAGGCCTTTCCTAACCATACTCCCCACACTGGGCATAGCACCTGTCTGTTCTCTTCATAGAAATAACCACGAGCCACAATTCTTTTTAGGTATTCATTTACTTGTTTATAGTCTCCCCTTGGTAGGATGTTGGCTCCATGAACATGAGGACTTTGTCTGTTTTGTTCACTCCTAGGTCTGTTATCACAGTACCTGGCACATAGTAGGCACTCTAAAGAGTTGTTGAAGGAACAAATGAATGAGTAAGTGAATCGATAGGTGAATGGTTGGCAGGGAAGCCTGGTTTGTTTCACAGACGGCCCCTCTCTTCCTCACACCCTGATATTCTCTCTCTCCCTTTCTCAGATATGGAGACATGGTGCCCAAGACAATTGCTGGGAAGATCTTCGGCTCCATCTGCTCGCTGAGTGGCGTCCTGGTCATTGCCCTGCCGGTCCCTGTGATTGTTTCCAACTTCAGCCGGATTTACCACCAGAATCAGAGAGCAGACAAACGCAGGGCACAGAAGGTAAGGCTCAGACACAGGGATGGAGCATATAAGGGTCAGACGGGCAGCACCAGAGAGGCGCCTGGACCTTCCTCTTTTGTGCCTGGCAAAAGTCAGGTGGCCAGGGCTGGAGTTCCTTAGAGAATCACTGCTCAGACAGCCTCTGGAAAGTAAAGCAACCTCATGCCACTTCCTACCGATCAGCATCCTGCATTCCAACCGCAGCCAGTTGCAAAATGCAACAACCCCTCAGTTATCCACAGGCTGACTATCTTCCTTTTGGATATTCTATGGCAATTTCCTTGACCCCTGGCTCCCCTTCCGCTCTTTCAGCCGCCACCAATCAGCAGCCTCCTGGACTCTTCCTTGTCCCAGCCAAGAGCTCGCTGGGGAATATAATCTTTTTTCAATATTCTACAATTGCCTACAAAACATAGCGACAAAAAATAAATTTGCTGAAAAGAAAAATGGATACTATGAAAAGAGAACATTCTAAGGCCACTGAGCTCAGGGATAAATAGCACCACAGGCTTGAATAACCTCCAGGGCACCGTTGGGTTAAGGCACAGAGCTGCAGTTGATGATCAGGAGAATAACCACCGGTCCTGAGTAAAGTATTCAGTTATGTCCAGTATACACTGCTTACGGAGGCAGGGAAGGGTAAAATACTTTTTTCCCACAAAATGTGGGAAAATGGCTGAAGGCTTTGGTGCTTGGAAAGAAGCCTCCTTCCCTGACTAACCCTCAAACTTCTTTCTAGCTGGGACAACTCGTCCATTCCACCAGCTTTCGTTTACTCCACATTTTTAAGGCATCTGGCTAGTGAAGGTTTTTAAAAAAAAAAAACCTGTTGCCATCAAGCCAGTTCCAACCCATGGCGATCCCTTGTGTTGCAGAGTAGAACTGCTCCATAGGGTTTTCTCGACAGTAGTTTTCTTTTACTTTCAAAGATTTTTAATTGTATCTCTTCCCTTTAACAAATCATCAGTCATTTATGACATGAAGCCATTGGTCAAGATCATACAGTCCCCAACTTATAATATTGTTCTTTTTTTTTCTTTATTGTACTTTAGATAAAGGTTTACAGAACAAAGTAGCTTCTCATTAAACAGTTAGTACACATGTTGTTTTATGACATTGGTTAACAACCCCACGGCACGTCAACACTCTCCCTTCTCGACCTGGGGTTCCATATTTGGGCTGTAGTCTTTGTGGAAGCAGATCAGCAGGCCTTTCTTCCATGGTGCCTCTGGGTGGATTCAAACTGCCAACCTTTCGGTTGGTAGTCCACCGCAAACCATTTATGCCACTAAGGGGCCAGTGAAGATTCTTAGGTAGTGACTTTTACTAGGGTTCCAAGTAGGAAGGTCAAGACTGAAATATGGTACCCCGTCCGCAGGATCTTATGCGTGGGGACCCTCCATTCCTCCATTCCAAACTCCCGGGGGGGTGGTCAGTCTTTTTGGGCACAATGGACAGGGAGGGACTTCCTTGAAATATTGGCTTAGGGAGGCCTGGGATTTTGACTCCTTATTTTATTTCATTCATTCATTCATTCATTCCACAAACACTTCCTGAGCACCTGCTCTGTGTCAGGCATGATGCATTGCAGCTGGGTTATTTCCCTGCCACATGATCCGTGCCATTGACCCTCCACTTGCAGTGATAACTTCCAAGTGTCAGAGGAATCCAGAATTTCAGAATGGGCCTGCATATGCTGACTGAAGCATGGAAACTAGCTCCAAAATGTAGGGGCAGAGAATTCCAGTTTGTTCCAGCATATCCCATTTTGCATGCCTTCCTGGTCACCTCCTCTGTACCCTTCTGTCTCCCTCTGCCTGTGCTGAAATATATTTTTACTTCTCTTTACCTGCGTCTGTAATGTCACCAGCCTTCCTTAAACTTCCTCTCCTTGGTGCCGTGCTGTCCTCTCCATCCCTTCCAGCACCTATTTCCTACCCCTTCACCCAAGGTCAGCCATCCCAGAAATAGAAGTCTTATCTCTTTCCCTGCTCAAGTCAGCTGGTGAATTTGAACAATATCTAAATTCATTACGCACGACTAAATAAAAGGGCAGAGACAAACCGAGGTCTCCTTTTCAAATCAAGGAGCCCAAGGCTCTGAAAAACTAGGAATTCTATAGCAACCCCACCCACACAGGCTAGGGCTGACTTACAGGTTTTGACCGAGCAGGTGAGGTTTAAAGGAATCCTCAGCCCCACACACAAGCCCATGGCTGTGCCTACCCCGGTGACAGCCCCACTCAAGCTGTGCTCTAGGGAGCTTCTCCAGCTACCTTCACCTCCATACCCATACCTTTACCTACTTCCCAGGGCATCTCATCTGCTGTCTTTTTGCCCCTACAGAGAATATAACAGTGGACATTTCCCTCAGCATTTTATAAAGCTCATCCTGTGTGATTAAAATCCAGAAGGTATAAGATTTGGCTTATTCCTTTCTCTAGCAGCTAAAGATGAGTCTCCTTCCCTCCTGGTTCCCTCCCCACCTTCCCACTCCCTCTTGTCTCTCCCTTTTGAGAGCAGAGCAAATATTTACAGGGTTTTCACCTCGCCTGGTTGCTGTCTCTCCTCAAGTTTGCTCAGCTCTGTCTCCTTCACCTTGGGCTTCTTGTGACGGGAAGCAAAGGACACTGCCTGCTTCCAGCACCAAGTCTGTCACCAGAAGCCGAGGCAGGCAGGTCCAGGGGACTTGGTGAGGAGTGGAGATGGGGTAGGGAGAAGGTCAGGGAACCTAATGAGAGCTCTTAACTCAGACCAGACACTTAGGAGCTAGAACAGCCACAAAGGTAAGTTCCAGCCCACTTGCCTTGGGTGTAAAGGAAAGGTTCAAGAAGGAGATCATGTCATTCTCCTCTTTCCATCATGACTGGTTTGCTTGGGATTGTTACTGGGATGACTCCACAATTATTTGCTTCCGAGACTATGTTCTCTGAGCCAGGTGAATTGGAGTTATAGCAATGGGGTGGTCTAGCAGTGGACAAAGAGAGGGTAACATACTGGAGTGGGGAATTGTTCCCTATCTCTGGTTCTGATGCCTGCCCATAGTCCGTGTGTGTGTGTGTGTGTGTGTGTGTGTGTGGTAAAACACATGCAAAAAAACTGCCATTTTAAATGTACAATTCAGTGACATTAATTACATTCACCATGTTGTGCAACCAACACCACTATTTATTTTCTAAAAGTTTTTCATCACCCCAAATAGAAACTCAGTGCCCTTTCAGCAATAACTCCCCATTCCCTCCTCCCCCCAGCCCCTGGCAACCACTAATAATCTTTTGTCTCTGTGCATTTTCCTGTTCTACATATTTCATGTAAGTGGGATCATATAATATTTATTTGTGTCTGACTTATTTCACTCAGTGTGACATTTTCAAGCTTCATGCATGCCATAGCACATATCAGAATTTCATTTCCCTTTATGGCTGAATAAGATCCTCATATACTCTTTTTAATGGTAATTTTATTGAGGTAATTTTAGATTCATTTGTGGTTGTAAAAAATAGTACAGAGAGATCATTGAACACTTTGTCCAGTTTCCCCAACGGTAACATTTTCTAAAACTATAGTACAATGTCACAACTAGGATGCTGACATTGATACAATCCACCAGTTGTATGTGTGTGTATGTATGTGTTTGCATGTGTATGTGTGTGAGTGTGTGTTAAGTTTTATCATATGTGTAGGTTCATGCATCTGCCACCGTAGTCGAGATACTGAACAACAAGGATTCCTCTTGTTGCCCTGCAACTCCCACTCCATCTCTAATCCCTAGAACCACTTATCTGTCCTCCATTTGTAAAATGTTTTCACTTGAAAAATGTGACATAAATGGAATCATATGTAACCTTTGGAGATTGGCTTTTTTCACTCAGCGTAATTCCTGGAGATTCATCCAAGTTGTTGAGTATATCAATAGCTAGTTTCTTTTTATGGCTGAGTAGGAATTCCATGGTATGGATGTACCCCAGTTTAACCATTCACCTGTCGAAGAACATTTGGGATGATTCAAGTTTGGGGTTTTTACGATAAAGTTTCTATAAGCATTCATGTATACGTTTTTGTGTGAACGTAAGTCTTCATTTCTTTGGGATAAATGCCCAACAGTGCAATTGTTCATGTTCTCTGTTGGCCTTTCCATTTCTCCCTCTTTCTCCTTATTTTGCCTCTCCTAGAGAAAGACATGTAAATACTCATGGCCAAAGGGCACTTGCCAGCCAACAGCCAGGAAGTGCTAATTTTGAAGGACTTCTCAGGGATTGGTACAATTATGGTCTTGAACATTGACTGTACCTGGAACTGGACCCAGGGTTTAGCATTCTCCTTCCAGACCTCTCCTCCAACCCTGCGATCTCCACCCCTGTTGAAATGCAGCTTCCTGGGCTTCATTCAAGTTTAAAAAATAGGCTGACTGGAGTTGAATTCAGGAAAGGAGGAGGAGGATGTTATGGAAGTAGCATTGGCCTGAAAGCTGGAAGACCTGAGCTCAAGTCTTGATAGTCCACTGCCTTGCCCTTGATGAGTCACTTGCCCTCATGTCCTCCATTTTCTGGTCTTTAAAATAGCCTAGATGATCTTGAAGCTCTCTTTTAATTCTCACATTGCACTTGTAGCCATGGGAGAAAGTGAAGCTGACCAGTCCACACAAGGATTGAGCCTATTATAGATAAATAGCTGCCATCGAGTCAACTCCAACTCATAGCAACCCTATGTACAACAGAATGAAATCTTACCTAGTCCAACATCATCCTCACGATCGCCAACATGTTTGAGTCCATTGTTGCAGCTACTGTGCCAATCCATCCCACCAAGGGTCTCCCTCACCCTCATTGGCCCTCTACTTTACCAAACATGATGTCTTCCTCTAGCTATTGATCCTTACTGATGATGTATCCAAAGCGGTGAGGTGGACAGTGTTCTGTTGTGATCCATAAGGTTTTCATTGGCTAGTGTCTTGGTCATCTAGTACTTTTCTAATAGAAATACCACAAGTGGATGGCTTTAACAAAGAGAAGTTTATTTCCTCACAGTAAGGGAGGCTAAAAGTCCAAATTCAGGTCATCAGCTCCAGAGGAAAGCTTTCTTTTTCTGTCGGCCTTCTTTTCATCAGTGTTCCCCCGGACTAGGAGCTTCTCCATGCAGGGACCCCAGGTCCGAAGGACGCACTCTGCTCCTGGCACTGCTTTCTTGGTGGTACGAGGTCCCCGTCTCTCTGCTCACTTCTCTCTTTTCTATATCAAGAGATTGCCTCAGGATACAATCCAATCTTGTAGACTGAGTCCTGCCTTACTAACACAACTGCTGCCCATCCTCCCTCATTAACATCATAGAGGCAGGATTTACAACATATAAGAAAATCACACAATACCAGGAATCATGGCCCAGCCAAGCTGACACGTTTTTTGGGGGGACATAATTGAATCCATGACAGCTAGTTTTCAGAAGTAGATCACCGGGCCTTTCTTTGTAGTCTGTCTTAATCTGGAAGCTCCACTGAAACCTGTGCACCATGGGTGACCCTGCCAGTATTTGAAATACCAGTGGCATAGCTTCCAACATCATAGACACATGCAAGCCACCACACTACAACAAGCTGACGGGTGGTGGATTGAGCCCATTATAATGGCTTTAGTAACGCAGATTTCTAACCAACTGTGTATGATCATCTTCCTTCCTTGGCCATCACAAGCTTTTCTTGAGCACCTACTCAGTGCAAAGCCCTGTGCTAGGTACTGGAGATGAAAACCACAGTCCCTACCCCTCCGGCACTCATAACCAGGCCAAAGATCCTGATGCATGAGCCACAGTCCCTGCCCCTCCAGAGCTCAAAGGCAAGCCAAAGAGCCCCATCAAACTTCCTATGCTGCGTATGGCTCTGTAAATACATTGCAAACCCCTTTATCCTGTGAGGGAGATGATTAAACGATCTAGTGCATTTGATATGACAATCAGTTGCTTTAATAGAGCCCAGGGTAAGATAAGATTAAAAGAAGTGCCACAAAGGAGAACAGGAGAATCTTTCATCTCTAGAAAGTAATGAAGACAGACCCCAGACACAAAAAAGGTCTAGCTCTAAGTGGTGCGATCCAATTATATAAGGCTATAATGAGCTTGACACAATTGAATTTCCATGTGCAGCTCTCAACACCCAGTGCTCACCCAAAGCAGTAACAGCCGCATCCTCCAATGATGAGCAACTTGTTTGAACGTAAACATCTAGCTAAAGGGAAGGCAAGAGCAGGATTCCTAGGGAGGAGAATTGACCTGCATCCTGAATGAATGTTCTTTCCTGAGAGAGAAGAATGACAGGGCTGATTAGCCTCCTTCTCTCCCTGGTTCCCCTTTCAGTCCTCTCCATCTGGAGGAGCATCCTTCCTCGGATTTATGGGCAGATCTTCCAGGTTCTGGTCCTAGGCCGCTTCTCCGTATTCGGCAGGGAGGAAAAGGAATAGAATTGGCCAAGGAAACCCTGGCCAGTGGGGGACTTCCCAGGAAATAAGAGACATAGTGTGTCCCTGGTGCTTCTGATAACAGCCTGGCCTCATTGTTACAGATAAACCAGCCCAGCAGGACACTTGGAGGGGACACTGCCCCATGCTGGGGACAGGGTAATAAGAAATAGAAATTGCAGCAGTTGTCCGAGGACTCGTCTCCTGCTCAGAGTCCATGCTGAAGTCACATGTGGACTTACTCAGGAGCTCTGCACCAGGATGGGTCTGTGAGTCCGGGTGAGCTCTTCTGTTTCTGGAAGCAAGAGCCTGGAGCTGTGTCTAGGTCTCCAGAGCCCAAACCCAAAGTTGCATTTTTTTAAACCAGCAGGTCCCCTCTTCCCAGTCCTGTCTCCCTTTCTCCAAAAGAGTCCTTCCTCTTGGCCCTCATTCTTTGGCTATGCTGCTGTCATGGTTACCCAGATTACGGTCATTAGGAAGGGATAGCAGCCAGCATGTGCAGTGTGGCCTGCCTGTCCACTGCCTCTGCAAGCGGGATACCGGGTAGCCCTCCTAAGGAGACCTTCTCTGTGGAAGGCTGCCCTCTCTGGAGCTGTGCTAGGTAAACCCGAAGTGGTGCATAGTGATGTCTTCCATCCGTCCCTCACACACACATCGGGTCACCTTGTCCCATGCACCTACACTCATTCCCACAACCAAGCATGACAAAATAAACATGTATTGACACACCCATGCATGAATCCACGCCCAAAGACAGACGTGCCATTGTAAATTCACTTAATAATTTTAAAAATATCTGAAGACCTAAGAAGTCCCTGAGTGGCACAGAAGGTTAAGTATTCAACTACTAGCTGCAAGATTGGCAGTACAAACCCACCCAGAGGCACTCGAAATACAGGCCTGGCAACCTGCTTCCAAAAGGTCACAGCCTTGAAAACCCTATGGAGCGCAGTTCCAGTCTGCACACGTGGGGTCGCCATGAGTCGGAATCGACTTGACAACAACTAACAACAATAACACTAGGTGGTAGGCACTGGGGATCTAACAGTAAACGAAACAAAAATTCTTGCCCTCAAGGAGATTACATTCTAGTGGAGGAGAGAGACAGCAGCAAGGTAAATCAATAGAACATATACTATGTTAGTGATAAGTGCTGAGGAGAAGAAAGAGAGCAGAGGGGAGTGAAGAAGTGTTGAAGGGCAGGTGTACACACTTCTTGCTTTTCTCATCATTAACTAATATGTGGGCACCAGCTGTATGCAGGGGCCTGCACTGGATGGTGGGGGAGAATCAGGAGAGCTATAACATACAATTCTTTGAGGAGCTTGCACTCTACTTAGAGATAAGACATACTCCAGTGAGAATAGCATAGGCATTGTGAGATGCTGAGTGTATAAAGGTCATGAGACTCTTTGGGAGGAGAAAGATTTGGGTGAGTGGTATTTCTCCTGCCAGGGTCACACCCTGGCTGGAGAGATGAGTGGAAACCCCTAGGAGCTCTGACCATGACCCAGAGACCCATGAGGCTGGAAAGAAGCAGCCCGCTGCCCTTCATCAGACACTACCTGGGAGCCCATCCCCACAGGGCAGCCCATTCTCACTGGTTTTTTTGTATCTCAGTCTCCCTCACTCTTGTCTCCACCAATCACAGAAAGCTCGCCTCGCCAGGATCCGTGTGGCCAAAACAGGCAGCTCCAATGCCTACCTGCACAGCAAACGCAACGGGCTCCTCAACGAGGCCCTGGAGCTGATGGTAGGTGCCTAGAGGGCCTGGGCTGGGGAGATGGGTGGGGAGATGGGCTTTTTTTCTCTTTCCTGGGACACCAGCACTCCTGCCCTCAAGCCCCAGTTTGAACCCTGAGAAGGACACCTTTCCAAACTTTCCAAACGTACCTCTCCCATAGGTTTATCCCTGCTACTCCTAATCCAGTTTTAGACTAAGGGCCCCAGTCCACAGGCTAGTATCTCTATGCTGACCCTGAAATTTGGTTCACCCTGACTTTTCTGGCACCCTTCCTACCTTCTGTGAAGGAATGAAGGAGACAGAGACGGGTGGAGCCACTCACCTTATAATCAGTGGCTCTTCTTTTCTTCCTAGGGCACCCCGGAGGAGGAGCACACGGGCAAGATCACCTCACTCATCGAGAGCCAGCACCATCACCTGCTGCATTGCCTGGAAAAAACCACTGTGAGTCCCAGCCCATTGCCACCTCCCTTCTCATCCCTGACCCCTGGCCTGCCTCTTTCTGAGGTTGTTCTTACATATTCTTACCCTTGGCCCAAGCTCCAGAAGTCAAACTCTATCTCCTTCAAATTCAAAGAGCAGTGATGAGGTCTCTCTATCAACCCTCAGGAGGGTGGCCCAAGGAGTGGGTGAGGTCATCGGAGTGGGGAGGGTAGCTCTGTCCTGCAGCAGCATGGAGGAGGTCATTACTCATGGCTTCCCACACACACCCCACACCAGTGCCCACAGCCCATGTCCTAGTTACTGAGGACTAATGACTCTGCCTATTGGTTTCTCAGTTCTGAAGGGCATCACCTTTCAAAACTAGGGCTGAACTTGTACTAGATAGCTACAGGACAGTAGAGAAGAGCATCCACTTTTGCCCCACCCCTGGGGCTCAGTTGATGCAATCTATGGGTCCATTTTGGAGCAGGAAACAGTAGACTAAGGAGGCAATGCATCTATTTCTCTAGCCAGGGATTTTATGAGTATCATCCCCTGCCAGTCACCTTGCAATTCCCAGGGAGTTCAGATTCTGAAAGTCTGCTTGTTAAATAGGGTCATGGTTTAGGTGCCATGGCTGGAATGTGGAATGATGCTTGTGCCTCACGACTTGAAAGGAAGGGCAGTGGGGCTAACCCTGGACACCTGGCACAAAGTGCTAGGAATAGCAGGGAGGGAGGAGAAGTCAGGGTGGACAAGACGAAGAGCAACAAAATGAAACCCTTCCCTGTTCCTTTTAGAACCTCCCTCCCTCAAGAGCCTATAGTCAGGGCTCAGCACACTAAGAAAGGAATTTTCAACTCCAAATGTTCTATATCTTGACCTCCCGGATGTGAGGCGAATAGATGTTAAATGACTCTTAACCTGAGCCAAATGTGGACATTGCGGGTGGCAGTTGAACCAAATGAAGACTTAGAATGGAAAGGTTCTCTGAAAGCCCTAGTTTCCAGGATTTATCCAATACTGCTTAGCTTTAAGAACCATGAATGCATGTCTATAATTTATTTCAAGGACTTAGAAAAGTGCCAAAGGGATAGGCCCAGACCAAACTGCCCTTTCCAAGTTGCATGCTGGGTGGAATGTGCGAATTTAAAGATATGTGAAAATATTTGGGTTGAGGGGTTGGAATGCTGGCATTGAAGATATGAGATTTTGGAATTGAGGGATGGAATGCTGTCACTGAGGGGTGGAATGCTGAATTTAAGGGAAAGAATGTTGGATTGCGGGTTGGGATATTGGGATTAAAGAGATGGAATGCTAGATTTTAGAAGAGGAATGTGGGACTTAAGGGGTGGAATGGTGGGATAGAAGAGGCAGAATTTGGGAATGGAAGGAATGGAATGTTGGGTTTGAGCAGGCTTATGTTGGAGCCAAGGGGTGGAATGCTGGGACTAAAGAGGCTGAATGCTGGGGTAAGGGATGGAATGTTGGACTCAAAGGATGGAATGCCAGGATTGAGAGAGTGAATGTCAGAACTGAGCTTGGGAATGCTGGAATGTACAATCAATGGTGTTTTTATCTTCTGTTGGCATGTTGTCCTGTAGGGGTTGTCCTATCTTGTGGATGATCCCCTGTTATCTGTACGAACCTCAACCATCAAGGTATAACTTTTTAAAAATTCAATTGATGTTTTTCTCTCTTATTCTTCTGAGTCTGTGGATTCTCCTCTTTTACTCCCTGGTCTAGTTCTGTGCATGTGCTGTTGATTCTTCTGGGGCTTACCCTACCTCTGCTGCCACACCCAGCACCAGCTCAGGCTTCCAGTTCCCTGTGCTAAATTACCCAACTGCCTTTCCAATACCCTCTTTGGACCTCCCCAGGGGCTTGGAGGGGTGGTAAAAGATGGCACCAATGCAGGTATCTTGTGAGGGTCCGTGTGCCACAATCTGTCTGTGCCACCTCCTCAGCTCCATGGGGACTCCTGGGGTTGGCTGTCAGGGCTGGTCTCTCTCTGAACTCTTTTCTCATGCTGCTTCTCTGCAGACTTCTCCTCACTCTGGCAGCCTTGGCCAGGCCACTAATGCCCTTGGGGTTTTAGTCACGTTGGCCCGTCATATTCTATTTATCCCAGGTTCAGCTATACCCCATCCTGCTGGCCTCCAATCAGGAGACTGGTATCATTCCCTCCTCATGCTTGCACTTGACTTCGGGAATCCTGTGTCTCCAGGTATATTAAGGATCCATGTCCCATAATCAGGAAAAAAAATTTTTAATCATATCCCTTGACAGTCTGACCCCATTGGCTATCAAGAGCAATGCTCCCCCAATTTATGAATAATCTAGGGCCTTTAAAAGCTTATGTCTCACCTTTACCCAAGATTCGTAAGGATCTCACCCATTAAATCCAGAAAAAACAACCTAGCATACCCACCACTCATAGTCAGTGACTCCTTACCTGTCACCCCCAGTAGACTTCATGCAGGTTAAAGGTAAAGTCCTTGCTTCTAGCTCTCATGACGCACTAAATCCCTCCATGTCTTCTGCACACCTTTAGCTCAAAGCTTTGGGTGGGATATGGGTCGCATCATGATTTAACAAGTGCAGTCCTCATCTTTCAATCTGATGGCCAGGGCTGCCAAGACGATTCTCCTTCTTTCTCATCTGATGCCTGTGGGCTCGTGCCCCTCCTGAATGTTTATCTGTGCTCCAGGCATCTGGGAGCCCTTCCTTCAAGGCCCAGAACAGAGACAGGTAGCCATGCGGAGTATGGGGGCTCACCTCCCTATCTCCTTTTCCTACATCTCCTCCTTCTGCCTCCCACAGAACCATGAGTTTATTGATGAGCAGATGTTTGAGCAGAACTGCATGGAGAGCTCGATGCAGAACTACCCGTCCACACGAAGCCCCTCACTGTCCAGCCATCCGGGCCTCACGACCACCTGCTGCTCCCGCCGTAGTAAGAAGACCACACACCTGCCCAATTCCAACCTGCCAGCCACCCGCCTGCGCAGCATGCAAGAGCTCAGCACGATCCACATCCAGGGTAGCGAGCAGCCGTCCCTTACCACCAGGTGGGTGGCTCCCATCCCTGTCACCCCCAAAGGCTTGAGTCATTCCAGTCATGAAATTAGCAATCTCAGAGTTAGAAGAACTTTGGGGTCCTTTAGCCTCCCCTTATCTAATGCATGAACTCCCTCTACCTGCCCCTTCTCCCACCTTCCTTCTCATCCTTGCAGGCTAACCCTTCTTATGCTGTTGGAGGGTACTATAGCACGTTTAGTCAGAATGTTGGCTTACACACAAGGAAAAAAAACTCAAAAAAATCCAAAGATTACCTGCCCTGGTGCAAAGAATGGTCCACCATTTTCTCAAGGAAACAGTTTTCATAATTTTGTTACACATGGCTTATCCTTAGCAGATTTTGAAGCACAGCCTGACTTCTCCCTCCCTCCCACTACCTCCAATGAGTCGCAGGGAATTCAGGGAAAGCAAAAATCAAATGCACAAAAGATAGGTAAATGATCCATTAGAGTGGGAGGGGGATGTATACTCTGAATTCCATGACTTTGTAATTGTTGGTAATTTAGGAATGATAATTAGAATGGATAATTACAAGCTGATTACCAAAGACAGAGGTAAGGGACACCAAAAATTTATCCTCGTTACTCTGAGCAAGAAACGTAGGGGCCAGGGATGCTTGGGGAGGCTCGCAAGCAGGGACCATCACCAACTCACTCTTTTCTATCCCAGTCGCTCCAGCCTTAATTTGAAAGCAGACGATGGACTGAGACCAAACTGCAAGACGTCCCAGATCACCACAGCCATCATCAGCATCCCCACCCCGCCAGTGCTAACCCCCGAGGGGGAAAGTCGGCCCCCCACTTCCAGCCCGGGCCCTAACACGAACATTCCCTCTGTAGCCAGCAATGTCGTCAAGGTCTCTGCCTTGTAAAGCCACTGGTCAGAGGGTCAGAGGGAGTAGTGGGGAGCGAAGGGGGTTGGCATGTTGGTGGGTGGCCACGGGGACCACTCCCTCCCCCTTTCCCCACTATTTCTGCCTGCCCCGCTGTACCCCTAGCACTGAAACTTGTGCCTGGAAAGAAAAAGAGGCAGCAAAGGGGCACCTGAGGTTCGCCGCTGCTAGTGTGGACAGAGCCCTGTGATACTGGATCTCACTGGGGCTGGAGGAAGGGAGGGCGGGTGGGGGCAGAGGATGGGGCGGTGGGGTTATGGGCTGCATTCCAGGACAAGCCTGGAGGTAGGCCCCTCAGACCAAATAACAATTGTTTCTGGAGACCCCAGTGAGGAAAATGCAAGACCAAGAGCAGCACAGAGGCCGAGTTGTCACATGCAAAACAGGAAGAAAATATAACACTGTGTATTTAAGCACCTTTTTCAAGGCTCTTAATGGATAATATTTATTCATGGGAAAAGGTGGAAAACAAAAACACCAACGGAGTTTTGTGAAATGTTTTTCTCCATGGACCCAACACCTTTGAACCAAAACAATGCGTTTTGTGAGGATTTTTTTGTTTTGTTTTGTTTTGCTCCTTTTATAGCAAAAGCTTTTAGGCTAAGAAGTCAGTTATTGCTGAGTTCTCTCTCCATTCCCCCAGGTGGGTGAGGTCAACTGAGCCTGGGCCCCCACAGCCCAGCTGACCTGCACAAAGCTGCCTACTGACCACCCAGCAACCTTTACCCTCGTCTGTCCCTGTCTCCTCGTCTCTGTAGCTCTCTGCTTCACCCCCTGGCTGTTTTTCTCTGTGTCCAACCATCTGTCTCTCCATGGGTCCCAGTGATCCTGAGACATGTTAGTAAAGCCTTCTCCGTCATTGCCAAGCACCTACAGTCTTGTGCCTGGGAGTTATATCTGTATGAAGGCAATTGTGGAAGAGGAAAAAGTGAAGCAAACACGGGGAGCGTTTAGGGTGAGGGAAGCCCATCTTATAGAACTAAGGTGCTTGCCTAGTGGTTGGAATCACTGGTGTTCTGCAATTTCAGTTTCTGGAGAAGGGGAATGGCCAGATTTATCAGAATGGAATCTTGAAAAAAGAAGCAGCCAACACCTGAGAAGCACAGTCCACTCTGGTGTGCACCGTTGAAGAGCGAACAAAGAAGCCAGGGGTCTCAGCTGAAGTCAGCCCCGGAGGAACGTTGCTATGTTCCCTTCTTTCAGGACCCATCAAGAGCCCATCCAGAGCTCTGCCAAGAGGCCCAATGAGCAGTTTCCTTCAGAGAGGGGAGTGGTAAGGGGACCGAGCTTCCTCTGACTTATGTGTGAGGCAACTCCCACTAGAGGCTGAGGAAGGTTGAGTCTGTGCGCCTCGTGAAGGGTGCTCCAAGGAGTGAAAGCTACTAAGAGATTCTAGATGATTCTTATTCCATCTGATAGATGCCTTGAGGTCTGAAGTCTTCAGGCCTGATCTCCGTAAAGACAGCTGAAATGCGGGGGGGATCCCTGATCACCTCTGGGAAAGTGAGGGGGTGGGGATTGTTTCTTAAGAACCTAGACGGCATTCCTGTTCAAGTGTTTTCCACCCTGGTGGAGCTGGGAACAGCGTTTCTGGAATCCTCCTAACCATTTTCACCACTTAGAGCAGGTGGGCCCCAGGGTTAGTGACAAGCCCCACCCCTCCTTCCTCAACCCCCAGCTACCCTATTGCAATCCCTCTAGCCTGGGATCTGAGAAACAGGAGCTCCTTATCCTTCTACAGCTTAGTAGTTAGGTGTTTAATTGTAAGCCAAGAATTTCTCCACCCACTACAGCCATCTAGGACAAGTCTTACTAGCCAGGAACCTAAAAACACCGTCAATGGGCTTCCCTATGACCCCCAGCTGTATTGGCCCTGTAGGAGGGGAAAGTCGAAGGATTATGAGGTGGCACCTAACCAGAGGTGTGCAGAAGGGCAGTGGAGAGGGAGCCTTCTTTCTATCTTTATGTCTTTAGGCTTATCCTCATTGACCACTGACTGAGCCTTTCTCTGGGTCTGGCCTCAAGGATTTCTACCTAATGGGGGAATAGGGTGATTCTTGTCCTCTGAGCTTATGGTCTAAGTAGGCAGAAAAGCCTACCAACCATACAACCAATGTAAACACACCCATTAATGCCATTCACGTCATACACATCTCATTAGGGAAGGCAGGGGACTGGGCTCAACTCCACTTAGAGGGCAGATAAAGGACTAGAAAAAGATTCTTCTTTTGAAAGAATGGGTGATGGAACAAAGTTAGGAAAATTACAAATCATAAGAACTGAGTGGGGTAAGAAGTAATGAGGTAAATAGGAGCATAGTTACATACACAAACTGCCCATGCCTAATTTAAGGACAGGTCATCACAAGGTTAGAATAATGACTGATCCAACCCAGGATTTGTTTGATACAGTGCACCAAGGGAGCATATTAGTGCCTCTTACAAAAACAAAAAAATCTTAAAAATGTCCCACTTTCCCATGTTCTTTTTATCGACCCTAATGAACAGAACACTTTGGGTTCCTTCCCTTTCATTTCCAAAGCCCACATCAAGCCAGTTCCTAAAAGACTGTTAGGCCATCCCCTTCATCTCTAGCCCCCATCATAGCCTTAGCCAGGGATTAGGAACCCAGCTCACCTCTAATCCAAAAGATGTCTACCCAGGAAAATGGCTCATTTACATAACAGAATCAGCCAGACTATACTGCTAAGGGGCATTTGTAAGTAAACACAAGGGCCAAAGTGTGCTGAATCGGTTTAATAAGTCTAACTCACTGGTCAGTGACTGAAGAAACAGGATATCAGGGTTTTCTGGGGGCACTGGCCTTTTGGTGCAGTGACTCGTGAGCTTTCATAGTTAAACTTCAGCATAATATAAGATTCCCAAAATCACCTGTATCATTCAGTCCCACTTAGCATTAGGGGGTAAAAGAAAACCTAATAGGCTACCTTCAAATGAATAGAAACTTAGAAAACATAGTATGAAGAGTATATAGAATCAGAGCAAGAGAATATCTGAGTCATTCTACAGCATAAAAAGCCGAGGCTCAAAGAAATTAGGTGACTTGTTTAAGGTCATGCAGTGATACAATGACAGAGCTTGGACCAGAACACAAGTCCCTTGGCTACAAGTCTAATGCTCTTTCCACTACATCCACTGCCTCTCCGAGTGATGATGCTTCAGAGAAGACCCATCCAAGAAACTATGCTATAATTACATAGTCTTATGTAAATGCCCCAAGCACTTGGACACAGCCCTTGGAAACCGCCTGACTGTAGTAATAAAAACTATACTTTGGAAGCAACCATTCCCTGGGTAGAACCAGCTATGGAGTATCAATTCTGTCAGAAATAAGTGAACAATAACCAGTTGTCTTTGAGTTGATTCCTACTCACGGCGACCCCATGTGTGTCAGAATAGAACTGTGCTCCGTTTAAGGTTTTCAATGGCTGATTTTTCGAAGATCAACCAGGCCTTTCTTCCCAGACCCCTCTGGGTGAACTTGAACCTCCAACATTTTGGTTAGCAACTGAGCACATTAACCATCTGCACCAGTCAAGGATGTGAATAGTGGAAACTAGGGAACAAGTGAATAGCCAGGTTTTTTCAAATGCTCTCTTCTCAGTGAAGAGGGGGCTAGGACAGTGACATTTCAAAGCATACTGTTAGCTTTTATAGTACTTTTAATCCTCACTATAACCTTCTAAGGAGCCCTGATGGTGCACTGGTTAGGCGCTCAGCTGCTAACCAAAAGGTTGGCAGTTCAAACCCACCAACCGCTCCATGAAAGATATTGCAGTCTGCTTCTGCAAAGATTACAGCCTTGGAAGCTATGGGGCAGTTCTACTCTGTCTTATAGGGTCACTATGAGTTGGAACTGACTTGACTACAAAGGGGTACAACCTTCTAATGGTAGTGAGTCAAGTAAATAAATCCTTGATTCACAAAGAGCAAAACAGGCACAAAGAAGCTGAGTGACTTATCCAGGTTTACACGGCAAATTAATGGCAGAACTATGATTACAATCCAGGGCTTAGACATCTTGTCCTGGGGTTTTCTCTCCACATCATGTTGCATTACTCTGAGACTTGCTGATATTTTTAATACCTGGATTTCCAGGGGTGGTGGTTAGGGGGAGGAAGCATTCCATTCAGAACCACCCTGAACCAGGACCTCTGGAAGCAAACTCTATACTGTATCTCCTTCATCCTCTATTTTCATGAATAGTGTCAAGCTCAGGACTAACTGCATAGAATCCTGTTCAGGAGACCAGATATTCTCAATGGCAGATGAATAGATGCTTATTCAGGAGAGAAACACTGATACCAAGGGAGTTAGCCGTACTGACAATATGCCCCGTCAACAACGTACATTAGTCTACAATCACACAGGAATATAAGTCAGCAAGTAGGTAAGTGAAATTAGGAAAAACCAAGAATTTAGATAGAAATTAAAGTGGACAGTTAATGCTGATCCATGATTAATAAAAAAGTCAACTTGTGAATATGCTGAGGTATTTTATCCAGTCTTCAAATTAGGATTCCTGTAGTTCTGGATTATGTCACTCACTTTTATATAGGCAGGGAAAGTGTACATTGAAACATTATGTACCTAGATTTTTTTCCTTGCTATTTTCTTTTTTAACTTTGAGGTAGTGGTTGAAATTGAGCTAAAACTAGTATTTTGAGGTTATCAGTGGAATCTAGTGATTGAGGCTCAATTACCAGGTAACTATAGAGCAGCAAGATCCCAACGCTGTTAATCTAAGGCAGTATTAGTTTCCCTTCTAAACTATAGCTCGCATGGTAACTGTAACAAACAGGAACCTGAAAGGCTTTATTCTCCCTTTCTGGTTTCCTTATGAAATCTCATCGTTTGCAAAGAGCTTTAAAATGACTGGACAAAGGAAGAACTTTGTTATGAGCCATGACCTTGGAACCCAAACAGCATTATGAGGAGCATAATTAGAGAAAGTAACAATCAGAAAAAGAAACCTCTTTAAAGGGGTTCCTTTTGAGTCTTCTTTTCTATTCAGAATGTTC